CTACGGATTCTACGATGCAGCTTTCCAGACCTGCACTTATTGGTACATGGGTTCTCTCTCCAACAATAGCCGCAAGTTAGCCAACTTTGCTGGTTTCTACAAGGGAATCCAGTCTGCTGGCGCTGCCGGAATGTGGAGGTAAGCAACCCCTGCTCTCTCTCTCTCTCTCTCTCTCTCTCTCTCTCTCTCTCTCTCTATACTCTTCCCCTAACTAACAAATGTTCAGTCTGGATGCACAGGAGACCTCATACATGGCCGAATTTGCCTCTTGCTGGGGTATACTGGTCGGTAGTATGCTTGTTGCCTCACCTGTGATTTTCTTCAAGGTCAAGGACAGCACTGCCGTCGAGGACGATCTGCGATTCTCCGACGAAACTGCCGCCGAAGTCCTTGGTCATACCAATGAAATGTCTGAGATGAATAAGCCTCACACAGAAACCCAAACTCCTACCGAAACTCTCCGCGACTCCCGTGAGGAGACTACCACCAAATAATGAATTGCTCGGCGAGGGACCCAACAATCCCTACCGGTCATCTGTATCACCACGCGGTCAATTTTTGATTTAAATCATCTTCTTCATTCTCACTACAGTTTGACGAAACATCTGCATTTACGAGGCGTGTGACTTTTCTATACTCGCGAGACTCTCGGGCTACAACTGCGCCACGGGCCGTGAGGATCATATTCAACAAATACTCAATGTCAGTCAACTCGGTTTCTTGATCTTGTACATTATCTAGTGTGGCTCTGCTTTCTGGGTGCCAGGGACTCTCATTTGGGGTGTGATTTAGGTCTACTATGGTTATGGGGAGTAGTCTATCTAAATGCGTACATATGTAACATCTCAAACTACAATGCTATTGAACATATTATCAATATTTAATCAGGTCCACCCATTGGCCTCTCTCACATCAACTTAGCAGACCCAGAAGCCTTGGTAGCCGTAGGCAACGGCACCGAAGACTGGGTGTGAGTCGCCGACTCGGGCCCAGTTGAGCCAGAATCCTGCTTCTGCTTCTTTTCTCCCTTGGGCAATTCCCAGCCATTCAGCGTACGGTTAAACAGCTGCAACGAAGCCTCTGGCTGATAATAGGGCACCTCATGACCAGCTTCATAGATACGGGTGAAAGAGAAATTGCCATACTCTCTGGTCGCGCCATACTCGACACCATCGACAAGGAAGGGCGCATAGCCCGCCTTTTGGAATTCCTTGCTGTGCTTGTAATTTGCTGCAAGGGAGATGGCCTCGCCGCCGAACCAGTTGCAGATGTAATCAGCGTCACCGTAGATAAGGGCGACGCGGACGGGGCGGGAGAGGATGTCTTCTAGGTCGTCGAGGAAGGTGGGCCAGACGAAGTCACCGGTTTGCTGGAAGGCGAAGTAGACTTCGTTGTTGGATTGCGTGTAGTTTACGTCGACGCCCAGGGCGTTCATTACCGAATCCTTAGCGAGGTAGTTCGTATAGTAACCTTCTGGGGTTGGGTCGTCGCTTGGATGGCGGATGTCGTACGTGCCTCGGCCGCTGAAGGAGTAGTAAGGGCCCTCTGAGGTTCGGTAGCTTGTTAGTTGTTCTGGTAGATGTAATATGTAGTCGGGGTATATAGGTACAGTCTACATACCGACGTTGTCCCGACACATGTTGGCTGCCTCAGCGCAAAGTGCGAGGTCGGATACCGAGGTGCGGTTTGTAGACTTGCAGGTTCTGATTTGGTCCTGGCAACCGTTTGGCATTTCATTGGCAAATTTCATGTAGTTGTAAACTGTATCGTTGATCTATATTCTTTGTCAGTGTGGAAGTATATCATTATATCTTTGACGACTTACAGCCTTGATGCCGTAGGTGTTGTTCACCGCAAATTCAGGGTAATACTTGGCTTGAATTCCTTCATCGATGATACCATTGATGATACCCAAGGTGTTGAAGTCGAGTTGGATGCCGTCCTGAGTGCCGCTGGCAATCTTAAGGTTCTCTTCATAGAAATGATCGAAGAACTGCCAGAGTTAGACAACTCCAGCGAATGGAATAGGAGTTAGACAGGCGGTTGACTTACAACAGGGCCATAATGTCTAAAAATAAGTCAGTAATGGATACATCAACAGATATTTCAGAAGCACTAGAGTGAACTCACCCTCCATAACTTTCAGTCCACAGATTGAAGCTCTTTGACTTGATCTTCGAGTCCAGCTTGGGGAGACCACCTAGGAATCCCTGCAGGACTTCCCAGGTAGCTTTGGCAGCAAGTACAGTTGTATCTATTGCGGTGGCGTTGATGACTGGATAGCGGCCATCAATACCTGCAAATGAAGGGTCTTCATATGAACCCGTGATGGGATTAAGGGTGCCGGGGGCTTTTTCGGCGTAGGAGAAACCTGCGATTATATTAGTCAGATGTGTAGAAATAGAAAAAAAGAAAAAGTGAATAGAAAGATATTCATACCGACACCCAGCGGCTGAGAGATGAATAGCATATTTGAGACCTCACTCCACGAGTTCTTGTTGATATAAGACTCATTATGCTTGTTGACACCACAGGGACCCAACTCCTCGAACAACCCAATCAAAGAGTCACTACCCGGTCCACCATTTAACCACAAGGTAATTGGCGCATTTTCCGGGTCATGGCGAGCCTCGAAGAACCAGAAGAAAGTGTGCTCTGTTGGTGAGAGGTCCACATAACCCGCATAAGAGTTGACACCCGGGGTGGTTTCACAAACACCCTCTTTGCCAGGCTCTTTATAGCGAATCGTGACATTATTAGCCGTCTTGATAGTCTTCACATCTGTTGGATGCTCGGGCAGCTGGCGGCGGAAGAAGGCCTCTAAGCTCTCCGAGCCATCCTCCGATGGCACCGCGAGCGCCGCTACAGCCGGCAGCAATGGAATCCAGTGGGAGACACGCATAATGGGTTACTTGTTACGAGTGAAGATTACAGGGTTATTTGGGGATACTTATAGTCCCAGAAGAGGGGAAAATAAAACATGATAAGAAATAATTTCACGCAATTGGGGGTACTAAGCCGGGGATTTCATCGATCTCCGTAGGAGCTCCGGGGGAGGTCGCATCCTTTGGCATCGTTTTTAAGAGGGGAAAAGAGTCAAAGCTCCACTCAGGGTTGTTGGAGGCTCAGTCATTCGACTAAATTGAACGAGGGAAAAGATCGTCAGCGCTAGACACTGTACAGTTGTACGCCCTGTGGGCTGTGTCTCTAAACAGCAGGCATCTCAATTGGCCAAGAGCTGTAGGAGCTGTACCTTGTACTTTGTACTTCCTAGGCAACAAGACAAGGATCCTTCAACGCAGTATGACGTGATATGTTTATGTTGTACGGTCTGATTCTTTTTGAAGATACTATACATATTTGAAGAAGACATGCTTAGCAGAACAATCTGTAGTAGCAGTAGTATCGATAACGCCCAGAGCCATGATGGTAGGTAGAGTCTTATATCAATGACCTCCAGGGCTAGGTGAGTGTTATTTGGGAAATATGAGATGTACTTGACATGAATAGAGGGACTGTAGATTGTAGTCACAATAAGCGATTTGATAGCTTGGCTCCATGACTAGGTTGCGGCAGTCCCGGCCAAGCTGACAATGCCAAGTGTCCAGAGTCTTTCCCAAGTAGGAAGGTCTATAACACCAGTTGACTTGGAAATTGGGGTTTGAAGTCGACTGACCAAAAGCTTCGACGTATTACTCTGTGTTCTTTAAATAAACAGTACAACCTTGGAATAACAAAAAAAAAGAAGAAGTGGGGGAACCCGTGGACGGGACCTCTCGGGAAGATAATGTATATGCAAACTAATCAAACAAGATAAATCAAGCAAATCAAGCAAATCAAGCAAACAAAGTAACCAACTTCGGGAAACATCCGTGTTAGTGTGTGTTAGTGCATGTTAGTGCATGTTAGTGCATATATAGATTGTCCTAGTAATCGTGCATGTAGCACTATATAAATAAGATGTTGCTCTTTGTACTATACAGAAATGTGTGGAAGCCTGAGGCACTTGAAGTCAATCGCATTACAATATATATCTATATTGTACTCCGTCCATACTCCGTATCGGGTCCCGAAATGGACTGCTTCTAGAGTTGCCGATCTCGCATATCATTTCCTATTCCCTCCTGTCGTTTAGAAATAAAATAAGAAGTTCGGTTACTCTATGGAGTGTATGGAGTGTAAGGCTATCACAAACTGCCCTACTGAGTACCTCATGCCCTCATCACGCCAAGTCTCGTATTTTGCCACGTTTCCTAATACATGTAGATGAGCCCTACTCCGTACAGAATATTCCGTAGAGCCCTAATGTCTCTTTCGTAAAAGGGGAATATAAGAACTAAAACCGGATAAACCATTGTTCCGAAATTAAATGCCGTGGTCTCAGACTCCCCGATCTTCCAAGTGTTGTGATTTGATTCAATTTCGATACATTACTGGATGATCATTGGCTGATTTAGGATGTCAAGTGGGAAGAGCAGGAAGAAGTGGAAATGTGCCGACGTGGACCCCAACCACGTAATAATCCCCATAACCAAAAAAAGAAATGAATTGAAAAAAAAATTAGGGGAATTAGGGGAATCAAAGAAATTAAAGAAATTAAAGATGTGTACGGAGTACATATTTTCCTCTCTTTCATCTCTTTGTTGAAAGGGGCCCATAAGATACCCTTCTCCCTGTTTTATATGTTTCACTGGTTTGAACTATTCAAAAAAGTAAGTCAGTTTCACCTTCCACCTTTCTATTGATTCTCTCTCTAATCCCATATAGAAGTAGTACCTTGCATGATTACACCAGCCATCCTCAGGATCTTCACCATGACTAAAGCCATGGGCTGGTTGCAATTGTGATTTTTTTATAAATGGATAGGGGCTATTACACCAAAACTTCAAAAGTTTCGTGGTTTAATTTGCAACTTGGGGCATTTTATATCTAAAGTGTGCAACCACTCTGGAGACTATCTACATCGTATACTTGGGGCAACTGCGAACGTGTGATAGATCATGGATACGCCGGAGACTCCGGTTCACACGTCCGATATTGAGAAGCAACCGGACACTCAAAAACAATCCAGTCCTTACCCATCCCATCCCATTGCCCAACTCCAGGGCCCGTTTGAGGAATCAATTATCGAAACGACCGATCGTTCTAAAACTAATTGGATCGTTGACATTGACGCGCAAACCCGCCGACGTGATCTATTAGAGAACGATGAATACGAGCGGCTTTGTGGGCGAAAATGGCGTCAAAGGACCTCTGAAAAGTGAGAACTTGTACTCTATCAAGTGTGTATGGACCGAACTAACCATACAGATACCATCCATTTTGGAAATTGATCTCCCAAATGGCCTTCGGAGTTCACCTCTTAGCCAAGAGCCTGGCAAAATCCGAAGCCTCAGTCATGAAGATTCTACAGAAACATGTAAATGAGTTGGATGGCTTCTTGGAAAGGACCACCGAAGACTTCTTGATCGTCCGACTAGACGTTCGCACGCGAATTCAGTATCTCAGTCTACCGCTGGGAAACCTTGACGTCTTCGATGAGATGCTAGAGGACCGGAATTTCCGGCTATCAGTTGTCGCCTATAATGATCAGATTGAACATGCCATTGAAAGATTCACCCTGGCCGTCACAGACTCCCTGAAAGACCTACAAAAGGCAAAGGAGGCTATGGGCGCACTGTGGTTCTACTTCCGGAAACTCACGGACGAGGATTGCTTCAAGACCGAGAGCCTCAAGGCTTTCCACCAGGCCATGATGGACAATATGGAGGGCTGGATTGTCGCCATCTCAAAACTTCGTCGACGGGGCACTGCTCTTCAAAAAGCCCTGATTCAACTTGGCTTGGCGACTACAGAAATGCAACGACGGGTGGGAATAGCCAGTAGGAAGGACGTGGTGAGTTGACAGACCTAGATTCTTTCCGATCCCAGCGCTAATGGTCACAGCGATCGTTTATTAAACACACCAGCAAGACTGTGAATCGAAACAAGTCGGTCAAGCAAAGACTCTTTGCTAAAGAACGGCCCACATCCGAAAAGCCTCTTCCTCGGGATCCATTATCAAAGCCAAAGAGGACCCCAACAGTCTCCAAGCAGTTTGAGAGTGCCACAGTTAAAAATCAAACCGACACCCCTGCGGATCCACCCATCCTGGGCGATGGCATTCGGCGCAGGATCATGAGTCGGGCCAAATCATGCAGTGCTCTTATAGCAGAAGCCGGCGCAGGCGCCGGCAACGAAGCACCACCTCCCCTTCCATCGACATCCGGAAGGCTCAAACGCAAGCTCTCCAAGCCCTTCCTACCCAAACGGTCTGCCAGCGAGAAAATCAGCTCGGCCCAAGGTCGACCGAGAACAGCACCTTCACAGCCCTCACGACTCTCACGCACCATCTCCATAGAACAGCTCCGGGCATTCTGCACCACCCCACGCCCTCGAACTGGACAATGCACAGCCCAATCGCCCATACAAGCGCGACAGGAAGCCCACGACCAACTCACGAATGGCCGAGAGACCATGAAGGAGCAGATATCCCAGTTCCTCAAGACGGACCGCGTCGTCGAAGCCTGGGATAGCGTATCCAAAACCGCATGCTGTACACTCCCGATTGCCAAGGCGAAAGATTGGCCCAGCAGCGTATTCCGAACCAAGTCTTCTACTACCCTAGAAAATAAGGTCAACGACACAAGCCTCTCCGGGCCGGATCTGGACAGGCAGATGTCCTGGGTACAGGAGACATTCGAGGTATTACCTACATACTCGTTCAAAACGAAACCTGACATGTCGCCCCGGATCCATGTTTTATCGGTGCAGATGACCCACGAGGACACCAATGGGGCTGAGAGAGAGGCGAGTTTGGATTTGAAAAGTGAAATCCAGTCGAGTATCACCGCGTTACCGGCTTTGCCATCCATCCCGGTTTAATGGTAGGAACTTTGCATATTAATAATTGTTGACTTTATTATAAAGATTACATTGTGGCATCTAGATTGGCTGTCAAGGTTGAGGGGAGTATCTATGAACAGTGTAGTACATCACTCGACTCAACAGAGACATAGAATTATAGAGAATGAAAATATGCACAGCCATGTATTTTATTTTATTTTCTTTTGATATTTATAATATATGCAACCTTGAAAGATATAATATCAGAATATTAGAATATTACCTAGGTAGAATAATATTTATAAGTACTATAAGTATAATTAATATACTACCTAGGTAGGTACACTATGTGTTCACGTGCGTCAGCCCTGCGCCCCCCAACTGCGCCACGCAGTCTTCCTCTTTTTCACTTTGCTTTTTCTTTTCTTTTTCTTTTTTCTTTTTAATTCGAATGATATTCCTCTTTGCTGTACTCTTTTTAGTTCCCCTCTTAAAATACTTGATTCAAGAGTGTCAAGTACTGGTACAACCATCAACATACAAAATAAGGCGACCAGACAAGTCACAGTACCTTCCCCCCCCAAACTGCAGCCTAAAGTGCCAAGGACCCACCGCTCTCACCAGCCTCCCATTGACGTCGACCATCTCACATCCTTGAAGATCGGGTTCTTCTTCTTCTTCTTCTTCTTCTTCTTTTTTTTCCCACTCTATCCCTTCTGTCGCAAATAATTAGCCCCTCATGCCAGTTCTATACCCTCGATACTGGTGAGTATACTGTGATGACCCGTCAAGAGACATATCGCTGATCCCTCACAGCTCTGGTTACTATCAGGGTAATGACTGCTATTCTACCTGGGACTCTTGGGGTCGCTGGGTAGCGTTCGCCGTGATCGTCGGTGTAGCCTTCCTACTTTTCTTCAGTTTCGCGTGAGTCCTACCCCCCTCTTGTCTTCCATTCGATCACGATTTTAACAAGCCTTGTTTCAGATGCTTCAACGCACGTCGCCGCCGAAATCATGGCCAGCGCCCTATCACAGGAACCGGGTGGATGGCTCCTCCCCCGGACCTCCTCCGCCAAACCAACCTATCTATCAACAACCTCCCTACGGCGACCCTTACTACCAGCAAAATGCGCCCCCTCAATACAGCCCGAACCCTCAGCACCACGGCTACTTTGGTGCGCAAAACGCATCACCACAGCAGCAAGGCATCGAGTTGCAGCAGCCTCCGAATGCGTACGGTACCAACGGATATGCGCCGCCACCTGGCCCACCGCCCAATGGCCGCAAGGACTAAACTCATACGCATCTTTTCAAAGCTTAATGAGCATGGCTTTGAAGGTCTTCCGATATTGCATGTATCCCGATAAATGTGCTGGAAGTTAATGGTTTACGGCGTTTTCAATTGCGAAATATGTTCTTCTTTTTTTTCATCGCATACCCGCGTGGATGGATGGATGGATGGTTTTTTTTTTTTTATCCCTCCTACTTAATGCTTCCTCATGTCTTCCATGTCATATTTAACTGAAGTTCAGCTGAGTTCAAGCATTTAGTCTGCCTGAGATCCCTGAAAAATGGGGCTTGGGTTATCAAGTTCCAGGTTCTTTCTCGTACATTTCTCTCTAATGATACTTGGACACTTGAACGGCCAAATGGACTTGAATTAAATAACCCAAACTAGAATTGCTCTTTCAAAGTAGACTGGCCCTCATCGATTCACTGGGGCATCGTGTGCTTTGCCGATCGCCTAGTTTCAGAGCAAAAGGTCCAATTGGCAAATACTTTGAGATTGGACCAGTTGAACTCGCCAAATCAGCTCAATTCTTATAAACCGGCCTCGCAGATACGTGAACATGTATTCCGATTGATATTTTGAGATAGCGGGCTGATTAGTGCCCCAGGCACCCTATCTCCGCCCTATATCCCGCTCCGCCCTGCATTTTCCTCAATGCGACCACCTCATGGATATCGACGACATTCTCGCGTCAGTGGACCGCGGCCCAGGTGCCAGCCCGGAGTCCGCAGCGCTGGACCACCAGCTGCTCACGCGCTTCTGGGTAGCCGAACGCGCCGTGTCGGAGGTACTACCGTGGCCGGCGCCACTGATGGAGCGCATAATGGACCGCGTGCGGATACAGGTACACACAGCAGCTACACAGCAGCTACACAGCAATACTCCCTAGAACCAGATCTCTAATACAATCCGACACCTACAGATCGAAACAATCGAAGATCTAGCCGCGTCGTCAGAAACAACCCTCCCAACAACCGCAAACACTCACAACCCCAACCTCAACCTCCGCCTCTCAATCCTCCAAACCGACCTCGCTCGCAGCCAATACATAGTGCGCAGTCTTTTACGAGCCCGACTCGCCAAAATAACAAAATACAGCATGCACTACCTAGTGCTGCTAGCCTCGCGCAACAAAAACCCCCTCGCATCGCAAACACAGTCAACCGCCTCCTCACAGAACCCCAACCAGCAGCCCGAGGACCCCGTGCCGGATATATCAGAGCTGACGGATCTCGCACCGCTGTCCGAGCCGGAAACGTCGTTCCTGCATGCACACCAGACCCTTCTGGCGGGCCACTACGCGGGGTCGTTTATGGGGGCATTCCCGCGGCAGCTGAGGCGGTTGGATGATAATGCCGGTGGGACGAGTATGATCCAGGGGCCGGATTTGAAGGAGGTTGTTTTTGTTCGGTGTCTTGGTGCGGAGGTTCCGGTTGTTGTTGGTGGGCAGGAGGAGGAATATGAGACGGGAGTTACGATGCGGATGGGAGATGTTTGGGTTGTCAGATGGGAAGGGGTTAAAGGGGCTTGGGGGAGAGGGGAGGTGGAATTATTGTGATTCTTTTCGAGTCTTTTTTCTTTTTTCCTTTTTTTCCTTTTGGACTGGGGTTTGATATTCGACTTCATCATAGCGGAGTGGCGTTTGGGTTATTTTATGATATATTTTCTTATTTTCTATGGGAATTTGCTTCTACGATGTAGATAGATTGAAGAGATACTATGCATGTCTTGCCAAAGCAGTTTCAGTTGGTCAGTAAACACCAAATATCAAATAGATGGGTTTCTACGAATATTTCATTTCTTTCAATCCCTTAAAAAAAGACGCCAATCGCTAAGCTCAGAGAAACGCAAGCTCCTGAAAACACAGACACCGAGATTCGAGGACACCCCAGATCATAAAATCATAACAGGCCAGAGCAAATGAGTCCAGATCACTGAGATAGTCTGGCTTTATGCGACATATCCATAGGTGGGTGGCTCTTCCGAGACTCGCTCCAGGTATTCGCGGTCAATCAGACTCTCAATCCGCCGCTTGATCATGTTCACATCTGGAACAAAGCGAGCGGAGAGTTGCGAAAGAGTCTCAGTCATTAGTTGAGAATGAGTAAGCGTTTTGCGTTGTCTGTGCCAAAGGTTAGTCTGTCAGATCATATAGGGATATATATGGAGAAAGAGACATACTTCATAATGCGGACGATGGCAGCTTCGATCGTACCGTTGCGCTCATCATTCATCTTCTTTTCAGTGACCTTGCGTTGATCTTGGTTCTCGACCTTGTTCGCACCGCCGCTGACAACTCCGATACGCACTTTCACAAAGGGGCTCTGGAAATCATGGTTGAAAAGGAAGCGGTCGGTGGGCTTCACATCCTTGCTCATAGGATCTTTCTTCAAAACTCGGGTCTTTGGGGCAACGGCGAGCGATTGCAAGTTGCGGGTTAGGTCGTGGTCCTGGATCCGGGTGCGGCTTTTGATTTCGTCATAGGTGAGGGCTTCGCCGTCTGGGATGTCGTTGAATAATAACAGGATGACCATTGCATATGTTGACACGTTGAGTTCATAACGCTGGACTTTGCCATTGGAACGTACGAAAGTGGCTCGAAGATCGCCAGTGCCCATGCTAGCTTGCCACGACAGTTTACGGCCGCTGTGCTTGTCGAGGTAAAACCTCTCAAAGCTTTGCTTCAGTGTATCAATCTCCCGTGGGAAAATGCAAGGCAATTGGACCATTCCCTCTTTGCTTGCCATTATTTCCATCGGCCACATGGTACTAGTGAGAACGTTGATCTCCAGATCCACGGGTTTCTGGTCAGGATCACCGCTGCGCGCAATGTGTTCCTTGTAACTGGTGGTAAGATCTTCCGAAATGGTCATGTCCTTGAACATAGACTCAATGCGTTGGGTGAACTGGTTACCGACCTCCAATTTCATCTTGGAGATCATCTGTCTCTCTGCATCCATGCTGACAGAGCGTTTCATAAGAAGACGGCGTGATAGATGTTTCTTATAATAAGTCTCAAATAGATCCTTGTCCTTGATGTAGCGCAACAATGTGATACCATTGTCCAGGAGCACATCTACCTCGCTTTCTGTCTTTCCTTTAATGCCCTTCTTCAAGTTTTCATCGAAGAAGAGAGACAGATACTCGGAGTTCCGCACATTCATGTTGATGAAGTTGGCAAAGCTGGCTCCGATTGAGCCCTGCATGCCCTGGTCGGAGGCGAAGGCGTTCTCCCAAATGTTATCGAATTTCCGCTTGAGGCCAAGGATGTCATCGACCCAGCGGATTGCTGACACTGTTTGCTGATTCTGAGGCTTTTCCTTATCTTTACCCTTCTCGGGCTTTTTCTCTTTTTCGCCGTCTTTCTCTGCTGACGGCGCTGGGGCTTGCGGTAAGAGTATAGACGAAGCATTGATTTCTTTACCCATTTCCACAATCCGTTTGTTGACCATATTCGTCAAAGCTTGCTTCTTCTTGTCGACTCTTTTATTGAGCATGTAAACATTCCGTAGCCCCTCCAACTGATCGTGATCCAGCATGCGTCGGACACCGGTTCCCTCGAGATTGACGACTTCGTCAATATTGCTCCGGATCAGTTGCTCGTCAAGCAACTCAAGAACCTTAGGCTCTGTTGTGACCGACAACATATAGCGGCATCGCTCCTCTTCTTCAGTGATCCGCTGGGTCGCAAGTCGGCAAAACGTGGCAGCGTCTCCTATTTCCAACAGCCGTTGCCCTTCTGCTTGGTAGTACTCTTTACTCGTTTCGAGAAAGGCTGGTTCAAATTCGGTTAGATATAGCTTTGAGCTTTCCTCCTCTGTTGCAGTTTCGTAGAGGCCCTCCAGCATTTGTATGCAATGCCGAATGAGGGGCCGCTCAATGATGTGGCCAGAACGTTCCAGTTGGATCATAAACAGTATGGTGGATTCGAGCACATCCATGACAGTCAAAGAAGAGCCGGCACGGACGGGGGCTCGTAGGATATGGTCTCGGAATAGAGCCATGCAGGCAACGTAGATGGGTGGGTGCGTACGGCTTGTTACCATACGGTCCTGCCCAGGAAGTTAGAGCATTATAGAAATACCATAGAGTGTAAAAGAACTCACCATGTACATAAGAACATCGGTAACCATGCCCATGCCCAATTGATGATCTTCCCAAGCATCCTTCAAGACAGTGAGGAACTTCTCCCCCGCCTCCCTCCTCTCACTCGACTGGTCCTGCGCATCGGTGGATTTTTGCGCCCGCACGAGGCTCGAAGAAATTGAATCAATAATGAGGGTTCGGACATTGGTTTTCAGCCAGTCCTGCTCCAGTTGCTTGACTTGTTCGTAGAGATCAGAAGCCCGCATCATCAACACGATCTTGTAGGCATGACGGTAGATCTCTTCGAATGCCAGGGTCGAAGCATTTTTGGTATTAATTTCAGTCAATGATGATGAGAGCACCGTCCATATAGAATCGAAATCTTCGGTATTGGCATGGGAGACTCCCTATATTGTAGAAGTATAGTTAGCGGATAGCTTCATAGTATTGACCCCGCGCTGAACGAACCCTTCGGGGAGCTCGAATCTTGTGACGAGCCCTCATTGCTGCCATCTTGAAGGCCACAGTAAAACCAAGAGAAAGTGAGTAAATAGAGAACTCAAGGGGGAAAAAAAGAGGTCGAAGAAGAACTGCGCTCTTCTCTCCGCGGAGGCCAACCCCGGAAATTCTAAAGTTCCGTCTGTCGCTGACCGAGCATCGTCATTTCAGTGATTTTCTTTTCCATCCGAATAGTCTCTCTTTTGCCTTGTGAATATCTCTATATCTTTTGAAGTTCTTTCTCAGCTTCTAAATACCTCTATACCTCTACACACACACACACACACACACACACACACACACTATCACCATGCGCTCTTTCACCTCGGGTCTCCGCCCATTGAATGCCCTTGTGTCGCAAGCACAGTCATACACTACTATTGCACGCATACAATCCTCACGCTTCCTCTCGACACAAT